TTTTACTATTTATCATAGCTCCCAGCATCGGACCGTACACTTGTTACACGTTTCTCCGACAGCACCAGTTAGTCCTGCCATTCTCAACACCAAGCTACAACTCGTCAGAGACAAATTAAGTCGATTTTTTGACCAATTTTCTGCCGAAACAGTGGTGCCATCACTTTTATGTTTTAACCCATCTATCTACCCCCTACCATCTTATCTTACGACCTATCACAACTTTGACTTATATTCATCATCCAGAGTTCTATCCCTTCCTGGCGAGTTTGGTATGGCGTCATCACACTTCCGGATCTCCTTCATGGGACTATAGATCTGATTCTTATCTATCTGGTTGACCGATTTCTGGCCGCAGTATACGTTTTACTTCAGGTTCAATTTTTCAAGTCTTCTATACAACATATAAAATCATCTTATCTGCAGACCGCATAGGCTCTGATTCCTATGTTCTCAGATATTAGGCATTGCCTCCACAGGTCATCTAATTTATTAAACCCATGTCTCCTGAGCAACCTGTACAAACTGGGCCTGTTACCTTTGGGTTGATTTCTAGTCAAAGCTGAATTTTTGTAACGGTTATGATTATTCTTCTACCTCGTCACGTGGCCGCCAGGCCCTCAAAGTTGCAGTTGTTTCTTCTAGCAGATTACACTTACTGAGACCGTCTTCGCTTGATTTCTGAAACTTATTCACCCACGTCTTTCTTGTGATCCTTATTCCTCTACTTAACTATAGCTCATTGATTCAGGCGTCTCTTTTTTGCTTGTCTTGTTTTCTCCGAGTTTGCTTCGGTAATAAGTAAGGTTACCACTAACCGTGCCTTCTTCCAATCTCCAATTCTTTAAATTTTTCCCATAACTATGTTAATGGCCTCTCAAATCTTCTGTTTCCTTGTGTTTTAACTACATGAGGCCCTTCTTTCTGTTACTTTCCGATTGATCTAGAGTCCAGTCTGTAAGCTTTGCTCCGCTATTTCTGATCTTTCGGAATCTATTTCCTTACAGAGCCTTTGATATTCTTTGTTTCATATGGTAATTTGTGTTTCTTTTTGGCCAATATATATCTGTTCCAGGCGCCGCATTCTATGCAATAAACTCCTCAGCATTCAAATCTGCGTGGATAGAATTGTAAAGATTGTTGCTTTTTTCTTCATGGTTACCTGAATATTCCATTTGCTTAATATTGGCAGTAGTTTTTTAACTAGTTCGCAGGAAGGGAGGCATATCCACTTTTTTAAATTTTTATCCGTCCCTACTGTTATTTCTTAATCCCCGTCTTGCCATCGGCTTTTCGTGGCCATTATGTTTCTTTGTATTACTCTTCTCGGATATCCCTTGCCGTTGTATATCTAAATGAACTTTTCCTATTTTTCATCCCAGGCTTCTGATGTTCATGCTCCTCAGTATTTTATCTTCAGTTTGTATTTGTGATGAGTATTATTCCGGCATATGACTTTCTGAACTCCTCCTATTTTTCTCTTCCATGCCACTAAGGGGCGAAGAAGTCACTTATCGCATAAGAACTCTTGGCTGCAGCGGTGACGTCGTTAAACTCTTTTCTAATTTGTTCAGGTATGAATTTTCTAATGGAGGTGAGAGCCGAATCCCATATGAAGTCCAAATCTCTGTTCATAGATGCCGCCGTTGAATGTGAAGTAGGTGGTCCTTATTGTCATTTTGATTAGCCGTGTTAACGACTCCCTTCTGATCCTCTGCTTTCAGGATATCCTCTTTTTTGTCCAAAATCTATAGCAGGACAGGGCCGTTAGCGTCTTTTCTCCAGATATGTTTGTTTATATGGATTGTACTTCAAAGCTTATCAATAATTCTGTTTGTCCTAGTGTCATGTTTTTGATCCTTTGAGAAAATTTATATGAATGCTTCACTATGTTTGATAATCTGTTGTTTACCTTCTTGAGTTTCATACATGAACTTTGCCTATTTGTGTGTTGCTCTTTTTCGTAGTCCTCTCTTGCAGTATACATTCCATCTTCTCGGTATATTGTTTCCTGCTCATTATTATTGTCGCTACTCCTTTGTCGGCCTGAAGGACTAATCGTTCATTCATTTCTAGGGTCCTGTGTATCCTCGCAAACCTGCTACTGTGTGTTAATTCGTGGTATGTCAGGATTCTTGGGATTATCTACATTTTCCGTTCTGTCTCAGTGAACTTCTCTGAGCTATTGATGACATTCATTTTAGTGTCTTCTATAACTTTGCTGCCATTTTAAACAGAAAAATGTAGTTATTTTTTCAGGATTCTAGTGGTTTCAGGATAAAGAGGAGTAAAACCTACACTGGGGGCGGAAACGAGTGAACTCGGTCAACCAGAAAGATAAGAATCAGATCTACAAGCCCATGAGGGAGATCCGAATAGGTCTGAGTCGGATCAGTAAATCGAGAGGGAGGGAGGCAGGACAGACCGAGGTGTGATGTCGCCATGCCACAATTGCCAAGAAAGGGCACAACTCTGGAGGATGAATAGGTCGTGAGGGCGATAAGAGGATAGTGGGTAAATAGATGGGCCAGGATAGGAAGAATAATAATAGCACAACTGTTTCAGCAGTAAGGTGGTCAAAGGATTGACTTCATTTGTCTCTGACGAGTTGTAGCTTGATGCTTTGAATAGCAAGACTCATTGCCAATGCCGACGAGACGCCTGGGAATATACTAATTCCTCGGTCGGACTCTGGGCATTATGATAACTACTATAGCAGAAGTCTTCGGACAAGGTGCGTCCAATTAAGTAACCTTGACAATTCGCCTAAGTTGAGAGAACGAGCTCAGCCCACTTCTATACATCGTAAGGAGGCTGCGACCATACTAAAGGTCACAACTTCTTAGTCTTCATATCTTTATTCAATATACTTTCTTTAGTCAATAATTTTCTTTGGAATTAGGTTAATCTCAAATCTTAAGATTCTGGGACTGACTCCTTTGTTGATCTGCATTGCACTGTTTCATAGATGCATTTCTAGTTGTATATTTTTTCCAGTCTAATTATCACGCACGCTGGAATATTTACTGATTAAAAATTGATTGATGTTTTTGGCCTTGAAAATGCTTATCTCTGGGTTCCCTCCAAAGTTTTTGAATTCTGTTTTATTTATGATCACATTTTTGGACTAAAAAACGAAATTAAACGAAAAAAATGACATTTATAAACTGCTGTTTTTCTTTTTTATGCTTCCGCTCTTTTTGGCCATTTTCATTTGTACTCTTTGAAAGTTCTCTCATTAAACCATTTTTTTGGTTTAATAGAATATATGAAGACCAAGATGTTGTGACCTCTGTTATAGTCGCAGTCTCCTTTCGATTTAGAGAAGTGGGCTGACCTCATTGTCACAACTTGGTCTTGTTGTCAGGGGGACTATGTAAAACGCACCTAGTCCGAAGTCGTCTGCCATAGTAGTTGCCATGAGTCCCAGCATCTGAAAATGGACTTGATACATTCTCAAACGTTTCGCCGGCATCGTAGTCGGCATCATCAGTGAGCTTTGCCATTCTCCGCACCAAACTACGAACTCGTCAAGGAGACAAGTGAAGTACACTATCACTTCTCTTTCTGTCATGGCCTATCTATCTACTCTTTACCCTCTTATCCCACTGCCTCTCTATCACAATTTCTCATTTGTTTACATTCCACTCGTCAAAATGTTCCCTTTTATGTCAAATCTAGTGTGGCCTCATCACACTTGCTATTTACGCCGACCCCTCTCTTTTGATGAGCTTATCCGACTCGGGCCTCCAATCCGGATCCTTTCATTGTCTCATAGATCCATGCCTTATCTTTCCGGTTGACCAATTTCACTCAGATCCAGTCCCTGTGTGAATTTCACTCCATGCCCTATTTCTCAAGGCCCTAGAAGCACATAAACTGCCGCTTCACTGAGTGGAGCGCTTAAACTCTGATTCCCATGCTTGTAGATATCAGACCTTCCATACACTGGTCGTCTCCTTAATTAAACCCATGTTATCTGAGCAAACTGTGAACGCCTATCTCTGGTCGCATGGGGATTTCTAGTGCATTTTGGCCAAAACCCCTAATTTCGATGATGGTGTGCTTATCCGTCTGCCCAGCTCTCTGACTGCCAGGCCCCCAAAGTTATAATGGTTTATTCAAAATGGCCATCACTCACTGACAGCGTCTTCGATTAATTGCCGAATACCCCTTTCCAAAGTGACAACATTTACTGATAAGCGCGGGGATAGGAAGAAAGTATTAAACTTATAATCTATTCCTATCAATCCTAAAACAACCACGTTCCTGGAAAAAGGACACAATTTTTCAATTTAACACCACAGGAGCCTTCTAGGAGACATCCTGGTGGAGGTTATCAATATCACCGACAAGTTCCATGAGCAGACAAAACGGGAAAGGGAGATGGAACTAATTACAAAGATCTTGACCCATCAGGAGCCTACACACAGGAACAGATTTGTCTGGATATGTAAAATTTTGGAAAAGAATGGGCAATTAGTCCTTCAGGCGGAGAAAGGAGGAGCCACAGTGATAATGGACAAAAAACAATATACCGAGAAGATGGAACATATTATACGAAACAGGACCACATATCGTATGCTAAACAAGGACCAAACTATGAAGATTAATGGAATCTTAAGTACCATGCTGAAAGATATGCATATGAATGGGGAGATTGACGCATGGACAAGAAATTCAATCACCAAAGAGGATGCACGACCACCAACAGCATACGGATTACCGAATATACACAAGGAAGGCGCGCCACTTAGGCTAATAGTCAACAACAAGTATGGAGCAACACACAAATTGGCCAAGTTTGTATGTTTGAAACTCAAGAAATTAAATAAGAGGCTATCAAACACGGTGAAACATTCATATGAGTTTTCTCAAAAAATAAAAAAACACTGCACTGGAATAAACTGACTTACTGGTAAGTTTCAATGTAGAATCAATGTATACAAATATCTTTGGAGAGAATGCACTAACGGCCCTGCTGGAAATCCTGGACCGAGAGGAGGATATCCTGGAATTACAACGA